GCAAGGAGTCATGAAACTACCCTAGATCATCCTCACTTTTCTCACTGTAACTCTCTCCACACACTGAGTTCACAACACCCTTTCTGCACCAACTCCCTCATCTTGAGAGGGTGGTGCTTACGTGGGCACACCCAGATATAAAAGTTCACCAAGCTATACATGAAAGACTTGTGCATTTTACTAATGCAAAAGAATTTTACAAATCAAGGGAGGCCCCACGTTAATGTAAAAAAACAATAAGTGTAAAGATACTTGTTTACTGTGCAGTTACAATTATATACATTGTAGCTGCCACAATTTAAAGCACCAGGCTCCCCACTGGATTGTAAGCAACCCGAGGGCAGAGACCACTTCCTGTACTTCCTTCATGACTCTGTCCTGCATGCAGGGCATGCTCTGCCTGCAACAGGAAAGGCCGTGCCATCAAAGGCTCACTCTTGGAGAAAGTGCCCCTCGCCAAACTCACAGGAGTCAGAATAGGGCACCTTGGAGAAAAGTACGCATTTGACCTCCTAGGACATTAATCATCTGGCCCACAAATGAACCTATATAAGTGTAAATTTTTTTTCCAATTGTATAATATCTGGTATTGTTAAGAAAATTTATGTCTGCTAGAAACATTCTGCCAATGTCCAGTTATTTGAAGAGGACCGGGACAAAGAGACCATGACATTTTCAATTCTCATGTGTGATCACTGGTATTTACAGCTCATCCTTACTTTTCTGTGGGAAGCATGTGTCTTTCTGCCTCACTGACTTTGACGACTTTCTTCTCTGGGCCATTTCCTCTAGGGTCATTACATCCACCTCTGCCCAGGACCCCTGAGCTTCACCTTATGGCTCCTTCCCAACTTGCTCCTGTGAGCCTGGGAACACACTCCTGCTTTCTGTCACCGACTTCTACAGGAACTGTAACATGCCCACCTTCTAAGGACGTTTTCAATGGCCAGGGCCTTGGTCTGCTGGGTGCCTGCCCATCTGTCGTGGCTACTCGGCAGAGTCCCTGCTGTTTTAGCATCCCAATTTCCAACAATGGTCTTTAGAATCAGCAAGTAGTTTCTTTGCCAAAGGATAAACAAACAAGAGGTCGTTTTAGTGGTTAATATACAAGCTGGTGCTCTAAGCAGCTGCAGATGTGGGGTAGACTGCAGGCCTACTTGAGTCTACCATTAGAACAATTCTAAAGAATGTAGAGGGGCTTCCAAATCAGCCAGGAAAACCCCTAGCGATTAACTATACGCTGACAATTGGGTGTGAATGAGGTTAAGAATGTGGCTTCAGAGGTCCAAAGCCCTAATAAAGAGTACTGCATGTCTCGAGCTAAGTGAAGTGTATCTATCTGTAGAACTGTCATTGTTCCCCTTGCTGTTCCCTTAGGGGATGCCCTCCCAGTCAACTATGGATCACTTACTGGAACATGTGTTCTGAATCGTAAATCAGTCACCTGCACATGTGATTTAAAATCATGAATTTCTGGACCTGGAATGCTGGGACTCAGAGTTCCAGCAGTGACAACCACCAAGCAGGAGGGGAGTGTGCTTGGGTACTTGCCAAGGCTGAAGCAGGCAGTTGGGCCACTGGGCCCCCTCCAGCCTGCCATGCTAGCGTGACAGAGATCTACCAACTGACACTCCAGGGACACACCCGCTAAGGCCCAATTTTTCCCAGCCTCCATACCATGCCTCCGCCATCAACACGCCTCAATAAAGTACAGTAATTCCCAATGGGAGAGGGATAGCAGAGGAGAATGAGCCGGCCCACACAGCCCCTCCCAGGAGGATCTAGAAGCAGGGTAGCTGTGTAACTGTTAGTTGCAGCACTCCCTCTGGTGCCACCCCCATGCCTAGTCCCATCCAGATGTTTATATCCGCACATCTGGTGACATGTGTCACACCCCAAACCCTCTTTCAAGCCGACTCTAAGGACTGCATCGGTGTGTGCTCAGGTGGACGCAGAATTTGGAGTGAGGCTGGCTGAAGGAAGACGCTGGTGACAGAGTTGCAGGAGACTGAGTAAGAAAGAAAGAAAGAGGAAGCAACCTTCAGGTGCTAAGTAAGTAGGAAATCATGGAAAACATTCAAAACAATGTAACACTTTCCTTAATGAGCTTTGTTAATAGTTCTGTGAACCAGTCCTTCAGGGATTGAACCAAATCCTTCAGGGATTTACATAGACTGGCATTAATGATGATGACCTTTTTTGGAAACCCTCTGATTCTGGAGGTTTCCTACAGAGGCTTTGGTATCTTCAAATATCAATATGATCTGTAAGGCAATTACATTATTAAAAATATATGCTGGATTAAGTATTTATGCTCATATTAAAGCAAAAAGCACCAAGAAATCTCACTTTATTTCCTAACTTTCATTTCTAAAAAGTGCAACAATTATTTGTACAATTTTAGCTGGTCTAAAGTCTACTAAAATAGGTTCATGTTAATAGACTATAAATATTATTATTTGACTGTGTTTGCTGAATGTCCTTACAGTTAACAAGGAAAAAAGTTTCTACAGCAAGGACCATTAACTACAAGATAAAATGCTTAAAATAATATCCAAATATGGAGAAGTTATTTTTTATTAATAATTAAAGTTCTATTATTATTAACACATAGATTTTAAAACTTGCCAAATGTTACTTGGGCTAGATAACAAGGGGCTGGATTGATTAAAAGAATTATATAATAATTATAATTAATAATAATTATTAATCATTATATTATTATTATATTTAATTTAATATTTAATTAATATTATATTATAATCATTGTATTATTAATATAATTGTTAATTATTATTAATATAAAACTTAATAATCTGGAGTCATGAAATGTGACCTAGCTCATACCTATCCCTCAAGCTTTTCACTATAACTTTCCACACAACCGTGAGTTCATGGCCTCCTTTCTCCAGCAACTCTCTGTTTTCATGCCTCAGCACTTCTCCATCTTGCCTCTTTGCTTGGAGATTTTGCCTGGGAATTCGGTGAGAGTACTGGATGCTCTTCTACCTCCAGCAGGAAATTGCTGCTGAGGGAACTTCCCACCAGGGCTAGGCTTTTTGCTGCAATGTGGGGGGTGGGGAGGCCGGTGTGGAGCTTGGGCTGCCTAGAACAGATCCTAGAGCTTGGGCCACACACCCCGGTGAGTGAACCAACAGCCTCCTCACACCTCATATTTGCATTCCAATTCACAGAGTGATTTCACACCCTGGCTGGCAATTCCTAAGCCTGCTGGAAAACCAAACCGGGATTCACCTCATCCATCACTGGACTGCAGCTGCCTTTTGAGAGCCACAGCAGGCCATGGAGGAATGTTCCTTAATCAGGACTAAATCAGCCAGTGAAGGGGATACTCCCTCAAATTCAAGCCCTGGAAAACAAAGTGGATGAGAAGCAGACCTGGAGTTTTAGATGGGCTCCAAAGGTAGAGGAGCTGGGTTCAGAACCTTCTGCAAGAACTAACTAGTTGTATGACCTTGGGCAAGTTACCTAATCTCCTTAAACCTGTTTCCTCCTCTGTAAAATGGGGATAACAAGACCAACATTACAGGGCTTAGGGAGCTTTAAAAGAAATGCTGCAGATAATGCACATAGCCCAACGTCTGACATACCAAAGGTACTTGATAAATGCTAAACTTTTGTCCTTGGAAGTGGTCTGAGCTGGTGATCAAGAGCTCTGGGTCTGGCACCAGACTGCTTGGGTTCAAATGCTACCCCCTAGTATTTACTAGCTGAGGGAATTATATGTCTAAGTTATGTAACCTTCCCTGACTCGGTTTATCTCTCACTAAAATGGAATTTTATTACAACACATAATAAATATTATGGATATTTAGTAAATGTTGGATTTTTTAATATTGTCATTTTTTAATTTCATCAGGAGTAAAAACAGTTGAGTTTCCTTTCACCTTAAGCAACAATGTAGTAGTGAATTAAAAGATTGTTCAGTATAATATGTATATTTAAAAAATCATGGAGACTTTGTATGCGTTTATTATTTTTGAGGGCAGAGTCAAGCTGTGATGCTAAGGGTGTGGTTACACTGTAATATGTAGGAAAAAATTCTAAGACTTTGCAGTATAAACCACCCACCAGGGAGCTATTTCTTTTGTAATGTGCATTCCATTTCTCCTCCCTCATGCTTTTTAATTCCTTCCACATTTCCTGCCATAATTATCAAATGTTTAGTTTCTGACCTCACTTTTCTGGAGACTGGAGCCCAGGGAATTTAGAATTGTTTATAAACCTTTGATTTAATGGAGGGGCTTGCGAGTGACGAGTTTGTTGGTTTGTTTGTAGTGTCTCAGGAAGGTCACTGGAGTTGAAAAAAACATTTAGAGAAAAAAAAGCGCTGAAATGCTTTAACTGGAAACGCGGAGCCCCCGAAGAGCAGAGCAACGGATCTCTCACACTTGCGCAACGTTGGTTTCAAGGAAAGTTTAGGAAAAGGCCGCTATATGTGTGGCCCAGATGATAACACAAAACCCGGGGGTACTTTACAAAGAAGAAAATACATTTCAGGAAATCATGATCTAACTTTTATAAAAGAGAAAGGAAAATTTATTTTTGCCCCCCAAAGAAGAAGCTCGAGATTCTCCCCCGTCCCCAGCGAGGAGACAGACTCGGAAAGGAAAAGTCCCCAACTTCTCAGTCTCTCGGAAGGGAAGGGAGGGCTCCAGGCGCCTTTCTGACCTCGCCGCCGCTCTCGTCGCCGTCCCGGCCGGCCCTGCCCGTCCTCTCCCCCTCCCCACTCTCCTCCATGTTAGTCCCGGTGCGGCTCCCGCTCGCGGCCCAAACTACTTTCCCTGATTCTGAGATTTAAGTTTCCTGAGTATCAGCCCTGCCTGGAGCGCTCCCGGCGCCACCGCCCCAGCCGAGCGCGCGCGGAAAGTCCCAGCCCGGCCCGGGAGAGCATCCATCCCCGGACGCGCGCCCGGCCCGCCCGGCGCGCAGACCCGCCGCCCCGGGCCCGAGTCCGACCTCCTCCGCCCCACACCTACCTCGGCGTGGACCCAGGCGCCGGCCACCAGCGCGAGCGCGAGCCAGCGTCTCCACATCTGCGGAAGAGAGAAGAGAGCGAGACTGAAGGCGCCGGGCCCCGCACCGACCCGGGAAACTTCTTCGGGTCCCGCAGGCTCGGCTCCCCCCACCCCCTGCTCTGCCAGGGCGCCCCCGGCCGCCCGCGGGGGCCCGGCCTCCGCGCCCGGCTCCGCGCCGCGCGTCTGCTCTCACCGTGGTCCGGTCCGGGTGTCCGGCGGGCGCGGAGCAGAGCGGCCGCAGAGAGCTCTAGGCGAAGGTGGGAGCCTCGCCGATCGCCAGCCTCGGAGGAAATCCGACCTGGGCTCGCCGCCCCTTAAGACCCCTCCTTCCCCGATCGCCTGCCCCCCAGCTCCTCCCCATTCTCCTCCCCCTTCTGCAGCAGCGGCCCCCGCGGCTCCGGCTCCCCGCTCCTCCCGCCCCTGCTCCGGGGAGCCCGCGTGCGTCCTGGCGCCGCCGGCACCCTTTCTCCGCACGGCCCTGGCCGAGCGCCCCTTCGGCCCCCTGGACGTGGAGCCGGAGACTGACGGGGGTGTCCCCCAGGGCGCTGCAACAAAGGCGGAGGGAGGACGGGGGCAGACAGAACCCCACCCCCGGGGAGGGGAGGTTGGCTCGCGGCGGCCGGGCCGGCGGGGCGCGGGCTGCGGCGGTGGCCAGGTGGGCGGTGCCGCGGGGGGCCCGCGCCGGGACTAGGACGGGAACCCGGAGGAAAGGCGCCCCGCGGCCTGGGCTGCGGGAGCCGCCCCCCGCAGCTGAAAGAGAGAGGGCCGGGGAGGCAGAGGGGCCCCGGCAGCCCGGGGTCGAGGGTGTCACTGCAGCCAGAGCACGGGGATGTGGGTGCGGGGGCCGGAAAACCGGCCGGCGCAGGGAAGGCTGCCTTGGGTTCAACTGAATTTCCGGGGGAGAGGTGGCGGCCTCCCAGCTCTGCCGAGGAGACCCTGAGTCCACCGTTTGCCTGCAGCCTCAACCTGGGCTTCCCTCGGGTCTAGGAGCGGTGTCCCCCTCCGCTCCTCTGCCCCCTCCTCACCGGTGCCCCTGCCCCCACCCGTCATCCCAGGTCGCCTCCATGTTCATACTTCCCAGGTCCAACTTCTTCCCAGCGGCCTTCAAACGTATACTACCTCTGATGGTGTTGACTCTAACATGCTCCGAATTAAGGCCTCTTTCTTGCCTTGAATCCCGTGTCACTGGTGGCAAGAATGAATCCCCTTGGCCCCTCAGATTTAGCATACCCAAGGCCGAGCCCCACTTCCCGGAGCTCCCCGGCCTGCGCACCTGCCTCTTTCAGAGTGATCGCCTTCAAAACCTGTCTCCTTTTCCCAGAGCGGTTGTCCCCATAGCCTGGCAGTTTTCGGCTTTGCTATCTCCTTTTCATCCCTCACCTCCTTTCACTTTCACCTCCGCTTTCCTAGGCCAGACCTCACTGGGAAATCTGGAAACCACCTCCAGTTCCCTCTGGCTCCAGCCTCTCCCCTCTAGTTTTCCGTGCAGCCCATCGCCATATTCTTTCACTGCCTGATTTAAACATTGTCTTCCACACATCCGTGTTCTTCTACTCAGACAATTTCAGCTACCTTCTTCCCACATCAGATCCAAACTCTCTGCCTTTCTTGTAAGTCCGCCATTATTGGGTCCACTTTATATTTCTAACTTCTCTTCAACTACATCAACATATTCTCTCTGCTCAAAGCAGGCCAGTCTTCTCATTGTCCCCTGAACCTGTCGTATTCACCCTTCTGCCAACGTTTGTCAAGTGCCTACTGTTGTGGTTTTAGGGGGCTTCAAAATAATACCTATGTTCCCCATGCAAGTTCAGAATCCACTGAGATAGCTGCAGGAGTCAGACCAATGGACAGCAAAATGTCAGCTTTGCCCCCCAGTTAAGGCTGGCATGACAGCCATGGCTTTAGATCTACAGGGACAGGGGGCCCAGAATTGAAGAGACCTGCTCAGTCACAAGCAGAATTGGGAAACTTGCTTGTGTAAATCTGACTGCTGGCAAAAGCAGAAAACACATGCTTCCTGGGGCATGCCTGCTCTCCAAATTTAAGGAGGGAGAGTGACAGATGCCTAGTTCTGCTTTCAAACTTATCAGTCAGGCAACTGACTCCTTATGGTAATGTGAGAATCAAGGAATAGATGTCCCCCCACCAGATACTATGTCCCAGTCACTGTGCTAGGATTGAAGGGAACTGTGATGTACAAAGTTTTGCGTCTGTCTTCTAGTAACTCATGCTACTTTGCATCCTGCATATGCACTGCACCCCCTCAGAATCTGGCATGGTCTCCTCTCCTCCCTTCCTCCTTCTGTCTATTGAGATTCTGTGGTTCATTTTGTTTTCAGGACTCAAGTCAGGTCTCATTGCTTTTCTGGCACCTTTTCTGACAACAAGTTGGCGTGGTAGAAGACACATGAGGTTTGAGGTCAAACCAACCTGGTTTTCAGTCCTGTCACAGCCATTTAATAGCTTCATGACCTTCATCAAATAACTTAAGCTCTCTGAACCTAGGTTTCTGCATCTGACAAATGGCAGTGATAGTGCCTTGCAGGGGGTTGTGAAATTTAAACAGATACAGTATAAAAAAATGCCTGGCAGGTAGTTTTATAAATGGTAGCTGTGATTATTTCATTGATCTGCTTTGCATCTAAATTGCAGTTGCTCCTATATACCAAGTACGATGAGAGCCATTCAACATCTCTTATTTAATTATCACAACAAACTGAAAGGTATTCTTTATTGCTTCCTTTTTCCAAATAAGAAAACTGAAGCTCAGAAAAATTTAGCTACTTTCCCAAGGTTATACCATTGGGTACATAGCTTACCACTTGGCATTATACTGCAGACTGTTATATTGCAGACAGTGTTTAACATTTGTTCACATAGTTGTTCTTGATTCTCCAGCTAGACTTTAAGTTGCTTAGGGCATAAACACTGTTTTTCATCTCTTTATTCTCTAAATTTGGAGCACAATTAATGGATTTTATTATATCAAAATAAAAGATTCCTGTCCAATTAAGGGCACCATAGACAAAACAATAGAAGGAGATATAAATATCTAAAACTGACGTGTAACCCATAACTGCTACACACACATATACACACACCCTGCAAGTCAATACAAAGAAGACAGGAAACCCAGTTAAAAAATAGGCAAAACGTATGAACAAGCAATTCACAAAAGGGAAACCCCAGAAGGACAATAAGTATAGAAAAGATACTCAAAGTCACTGGTATTATTTAAACTGCACAACAACCCTTTGAAATCAGTATTATTTTATTACCTCTAATTTATAGATAAGGAAACAGACACAGAGATTTTAAGTAATTTGTCCAAGATTACACAATAAATGATAAATATCACTTTACACTCATCATAGTGGCAAAAATGAGACAGTTGGACAAAGTCAAATGTTAGCACATGAGTAGTGTGTCTTTCTAGTGTACTGTAGCAACACAGGTTTGTGAGATAGACTGCCTTCATTCAAAATTGGCTTGGTAATAAATCTTGGCTTTACTGCTTACTGTGTATTCTTAGGCAAGTTACTTAACCTCTTTGCATCTCAGTTTCCTTATCTGTAAAGTATGGATAATATTAATAATAGTACTGACTTCCTAGGGTTATTGTGCAGATTAAATGTTTAATATGTAAAGTATTAATACCGAGAACACTGCCTGGTGCATAGTAAGTCTATAATTAAGGTGCAGTACTATGGAGCTAATTCAGTAGAGGGATCCTGCAGGTACTGGTGCTAATTCTGTGCTACAGAGTGAGTATGGTTCATACTACAATAAACAAAACAAAAGAAACAAAAGAATAAAAATAGCAACAAAACAAACTGCATGAAGGAGTTGACAGTTATACCAGGGAGGGATTTTTAGTTGCTGTGACAGAAAAGCCAACTTAAGTAAGTGGCTTATGCAATTAAATGGAATATATTGACCCATATAGCTGAGAAGCCTGTGAATAGGACTGTATTTAGGTAAGCCTTCATCTGGGGGTCAAACGAGGTCACCAACAATCCCATTTCTTGCCATCTCTTGCTTCTACTTTCCACTGTCTTATTCCCTGGGTCCCACAGGTGGCTCTTGGGGGCTCTGGTCTGTGCTCTCAGGGTGGTTGGTACACTGGCACCAGAGCTAGCCTCATCACGCCCTTGGACTACACCATCTGGGTAGGGGAAATAGTCTCTTTCAGAGCTGCTACAAAAGTCTAGGACATAGTTTTTTAAGAGCCCAAATTGAGTTTCTTGACATTCCCAAACAGATCATTATGTCGTGGGATAGGTGGGCTGATTGGGCAGTAAGGACCTACACTTGGAATCACCCAAAAGAAAATCAGGCTAATGTTGGCATGAGAAGCAGGGAATGGATTCTGGGAGTTGCCAGTGCCCACTGCAGTAGTGAATCAGCCAACTCATACTGAAATCAGTGCTCTCCAAAGTGGGGTGCAGAGTCCTCAGAAGGCATGGGAAGGAATATTAGAGCTTCTATTTTTGTTTATTTTGCATCTAAAAATAGAAACTGACTTTGCAAATATTTAGATTGACTCTGGCACTCATATTTGGCTCGCGTGTCAGACAGTCGTGAGTTAAACCCCATTTGCCAAGATCTGACAGAAGAGAGTGGGTGTTCTTCCACAGAGAGGGATTGACAACAGCTAGTCCCCTTTCACTATTGGGATGTACTGCACTGTGCCCATTTAAATGGATTTACATGTTATATTATCTAGTTTTAACTAAACTAGGTTAAAAACATTTCAACTACAGAACCACAAATTGAGGATTAGCTTTTTCTTATTAATAAGAAAAGGACAGAGCTGACATGTTTCTTACTTCTGAAAAGAGCTTGCTGTCTGCCACTTTAACAAGGCAAAAACGATGACTTCATCAGATCCCAGAACAAGTCAATCAAAAAATTTGACAGTAACAATAAGGCTATTTGAAATACAGATTCACATTCATTATTATTAATGATATCCTGATCCTAAGTATGCCTTAAGATATTTGTTAAAAGTACTTAGGATTTGCAAAATCTTTTGAAACCAGGTATCTGCACATAATGATAAACCCTACCTTTTTCTTTTTTTGGTGATCTTTAAAGGCATGCGGTACTCAATTAGTACTTTGGAAAATTTCACTCAATTTAATATTAAATGTTTAGAGATTTGACTTCCTTCCAGATTTCTTACATAATGGCAAAAGACATACCTTTCGGAAAAACAACTGTCTTCCTGCTTAATCAGGAATAGTAGAAATAGTTCATGAAAAACAATATGATGACAAGCTAAAATGCATTCCTGGGTCAGCACAAAGAATGCTGAGATTGACCAACTATATCCTGAAAATTGATTAACCAAATTAATTCTGA